TTTGGGCCTCCACGTCCTCAGCTCCTTCTCCGCTGTCGCTGGGCAGGTCCTTGCCGCTCGGGTCTTCGGCGCGTCGGTGCCTCTGGTGGTCGTCTGTGCCTACCGTCGTCCTGCGGCGGCCGACGAGTTGCTCCCCCAGCTTGATGCCGCAATCCTCCCCGTCGCTCATCTCCACTGGGTGCTTGCCTGCGACTGGAATGCCGCTCCGGTCAACTCGCCCATCGCCTCCCACATGCAGCGCCTCGGCGGCGGGTTGGTTGCCACTGCCCAGCATGTGCGGAGCTCGGGGCCGATCGACCACGTGTGGGCTTCCCCTGGCTTGGCTCTGGTTGGTTGGCAGTCTCCCTGTCCTTTCTGACCACACCGGCTCTCTGGTGTCCATGCGTTGCAGGGCTGGGCCCTCTCTTTCCTCTTGGGTGGCGCGTCGTCCTCGGCGCTTGCTGGATGGCCCTGGTCTCCCGGACGGGCCGGCGGCCGCTCTCTGGGCTTCTTCCTTCGACGCTGCCGCCTGGCATGCGCCGCTCGCCCGTGGTGACGTGGACGCTTTGTGGTCTTTGTGGTCCACCGCTGCGGAGGCCTTCCTGGATGGCTCTGGTCTTCTCCAAGTCGCTCGCTCCACGGCCCCGCGGGGTGGCGTTCCCCTGCTTGTCTCGGGCCCCGGCCTTGTCGGCGCTGGCCAGTCTCTTCTGGAGCGCCAGCTTCAACGCACCCTTCGTCGGTTGCAGGAGGCCCTCCAGGCTTCCCGCAACGGCCGCGCCCCGTCCTTTGGTCTTCTTCGGCGGCTTGCTCTGGACGGGCGCGCTCTCGGCCTTGGGCCTCTCTTCGCCTCCCACGCTTGGGGAGCCTGTGTCGACGCTGTCCAGGCTCGGCTTCAGTCCCACGTCGATGCTTGCCACGCGGGCGCGCTCAGTCGTTGGCGGGCCCGCACCGCCACGTACGAGGGCGCTGTCCGGTGGGTCAAGCGTGTCGCTCCTCCGGCTTTCTTGCTCTCAGCTGCCGACGGCTCGGTGGTCTCTGGTCGGGCCAACGGGGCGCAGGCCCTCGCTGACGGTTGGCGCGACCTCTTCTGCGGGCCCCCCGGTTATGTGCCCCGCGTTGCGGACTTCCTGCAGGAGTACGACGCGGAGCTCCCCATGCTGCCTCCGGTCGCTCTGCCGCCTCTCACTGTCGATCTGCTGCGTTCGTGCACCCGTGGCATGCTCCGGACCGCGGCTGGTCCCGACAACTGGTGTGCCTCCACGCTGTTGGCTCTCCTGTCCCCCGCCTGGGACGCTCTCACCGTGCTCTTCGCGGTCATCGAGGCGCAGGGCCGTTGGCCTCTCCCGCTCCTGTGCTGGCGTATCTCCTTCCTGCCGAAGGCTGCTTCCGCTGCGCCTGGCTCCGGTCCGTGTGCTGTCACGGCCGTGCGGCCTATCTCGGTCGGCTCGGTGTTGTTCCGTGCTTGGAGCAAAGCCCGCCTCGGGCAGATGCGCCCGGCCTGGCGCAATTTGCTGCACCCCCTGCATGTCAGTGGCACCGCTGGCACGCTCGATGCCGAGTCCCTCGTGGTTGCGCTTGGCATCGAGGCCGCTTCTCTTCCCGTCGGTGCTTCATTGGACTTTGCGAAGGCTTTTGACTCCACCGATGCGGTCACGGCTTTGGCTTGCATGCGCCGCGCCGGCCTTCCCCCTGGCGTCGCCGGCGCTCTCGGTCACATGTGGGATCAGCAGCGGAGGTTCGTCTCTTTCGGTGGCGTTCTCTCCTCTGCTCCCATCACCGGCGTGCGTGCCCTTGCCCAAGGCGACCCCTGGTCGCCCGTCGCTCTCGGCATCCTCCTTTGCGGTGTTCAGCGCCGCATCGTTCAGGCCATTCCTGGCTGCGTCCCTGGTCTCTACATTGACGATCGCACCGCCTTCTTTCGGTGCGTCGGCGATCTGCAGAACTACTTGCAGCATTGGCAGGCGTTCGAGGGGTTCGGCAGGCTTCGCACCCACCCGGGTAAGTCCCAGTTCTTCGGTCGCTCCGCTGCCGCGCAGCGCGCCTTGGCTGCCGCTGGCTTTCCGGCTTCCTCCACCTTGACTGCCCTCGGGTGCTCCTTCGCTTGCGGTCCTGGCCAGTCCCCCGCCCAGCTTGCGCGCGCTGCTGCCGCTGATCGGGTCGCCCTGCGGGTCGCAGGCCTCTCTCAAGATCAAGCAGCGGATCGCCGCTACCGTTGTCGCTGCGAAGGCCGTCTGGGGCTGCTTCCTTGGCGGTCGTGCTTCTTGCGCCGTCGATATTCAGGCCCACTATCGGCGGTGTGCCACTGCCACTCATGGCGCTGCCTTCTCCCGTGGCAGAGCTTCGCCTCATCTCCGCAGGGTCCTGGAGCTTGGTCACACTTCTGACTTGGCTTTCTTCGGTGTCTGTCGCGCTCTCTCGGCCATCGCGCGCTGGCATTCGGTTCGGGCTGCTGCTTCCGGTCTCGAATGGTCCTCTGGCTTTCGCGGCCTTCTCCGGCCGTGGCTTTCGCGGTGGGGCTGGTCCGTTCACCTTGGCGGCGCTCGTCCTCCTGGTGGCGGCACTGGCTTTTCCTTCTCGGATCGTCTTGCTGGTCGCGCCGCTGCCCTGCATGACCTCCGCCAGTCTTGGCGCGTCTGTCAGTTTCGGCTCTGGCTCGCTTCCTCGCGTCGCGACGCTGTCGCTGCGCGTGCCGAGGGCCTTGTGGTCTCTTCTGGCTTGGTCTCCTCTTTGCGGACCGTCGCGGCTCGTGCCTCCGGCCGTGCCGTCGGTGTCATGACTGGCGGCACCCTGTCTGATGCTGCTTGGACCCCATCCGGCCCTCTCCGGCAGTCCTGTCAGGCCTGCGGTCTTTTGGTCTTTGCGAGCGTCGAGCACCTGTTCTGGCAGTGCTCGGCGTACGACTCTCTCCGCTCGCCCGGTCGCGTTCCTCCCCCGGCGCTCCCTCTTGCCCGGCGGCTCGGGTGGTCCTCCCCCCTTGACCCCTCTCCCGCTCTCTTGCTCCGGCTTGGGCAGATGGCCGCCATTCGGCGCGCCGATGTCCTTGGCCGCAGGGCCCGCCCTGCCTGGGCTCCTCCTGCGCCCCCCGCCCCTTCCCCCCCGCCCGCCCCCGTGCCCGGTGGTGGTGGCCTGCCTCCCCCCGCCCCTCCCCCCCCGCCCGAGCCCGGTGGTGGTGGCCTGCCCCCCCCCGCCCCTCCCCCCCCGCCCGCGCCCGTGCCCGGCCCCCCCTGCCTGCCGCTTAGCGGCCCCCCACCCGTGCCTCTGGGCCTGTGTCAGCCCGTGGTACTCTCCCCTCCCCCCCCCCCCCGCGAAGGCCTTTGACTCCACCGATTCGGTCACGGCTTTGGCGTGCATGCGCCGCGCCGGCCTTCCCCCTGGCGTCGCCGGCGCTCTCGGTCACATGTGGGCTCAGCAGCGGAGGTTCGTCTCTTTCGGTGGTGTTCTCTCCTCTGCTCCCATCACCGGCGTGCGTGCCCTCGCCCAAGGCGACCCCTGGTCGCCCGTCGCTCTCGGCATCCTCCTTTGCGGTGTTCAGCGCCGCATCGTTCAGGCCATTCCTGGCTGCGTCCCTGGTCTCTACATTGACGATCGCACCGCTTTCTTTCGGTGCGTCGGCGATCTGCAGAACTACTTGCAGCATTACAATTGGCAGGCGTTCGAGGGGTTCGGCAGGCTTCGCACCCACCCGGGTAAGTCTCAGTTCTTCGGTCGCTCCGCTGCCGCGCAGCGCGCCTTGGCTGTCGCTGGCTTTCCGGCTTCCTCCACCTTGACTGCCCTCGGGTGCTCCTTCGCTTGCGGTCCTGGCCAGTCTCCCGCCCAGCTTGCGCGCGCTGCTGCCGCTGATCGGGTCGCCCTGCGGGCCGGCGCTCTGCAGGCCTCTCTCAAGATCAAGCAGCGGATCGCCGCTACCGTTGTCGCTGCGAAGGCCGTCTGGGGCTGCTTCCTTGGCGGTCGTGCTCCTCGCGCTGTCGATATTCAGGCCCACTATCGGCGGTGTGCCACTGCCACTCATGGCGCTGCCTTCTCCCGCGGCAGAGCTTCGCCTCATCTCCGCAGGGTCCTGGAGCTTGGTCACACTTCTGACTTGGCTTTTTTCGGTGCCTGTCGCGCTCTCTCGGCCATCGCGCGCTGGCATTCGGTTCGGGCTGCTGCTTTCGGTCTCGACTGGTCCTCTGGCTTTCGCGGCCTTCTCCGGCCGTGGCTTTCGCGGTGGGGCTGGTCCGTTCACCTTGGCGGCGCTCGTCCTCCTTGTGGTGGCGGCACTGGCTTTTCCTTCTCGGATCGTCTTGCTGGTCGCGCCGCTGCCCTGCATGACCTCCGTCAGTCTTGGCGCGTCTGTCAGTTTCGGCTCTGGCTCGCTTCCTCGCGCCGCGACGCTGTCGCTGCGCGCGCCGAGGGCCTGGTGGTCTCTTCTGGCTTGGTCTCCTCTCTGCGGTCCGTCGCGGCTCGTGCCTCCGGCCATGCCGTCGGTGTCATGACTGGCGGCACCCTGTCTGATGCTGCTTGGACCCCGTCCGGCCCTCTCCGGCAGTCCTGCCAGGCCTGCGGTCTTTTGGTCTTTGCGAGCGTCGAGCACCTGTTCTGGCAGTGCTCGGCGTACGACTCTCTCCGCTCGCCTGGTCGCGTTCCTCCCCCGGCGCTCCCTCTTGCCCGGCGGCTCGGGTGGTCCTCCCCCCTTGACCCCACTCCCGCTCTCTTGCTCCGGCTTGAGCAGATGGCCGCCATTCGGCGCGCCGATGTCCTTGGCCGCAGGGCCCGGCCCGCCTGGGCTCCTCCTGCGCCCCCCGCCCCTCCCCCCCCGCCCGAGCCCGGTGGTGGTGGCCTGCCTCCCCCCGCCCCTCCCCCCCCGCCCGTGCCCGGTGGTGGTGGCCTTCTTCCCCCCGCCCCTCCCCCCCCGCCCGCGCCCGCGCTCGGTGGTGGTGGCCTGCCCCCCCCCCCTGCCTGCCGCTGCCGCTTAGCGGCCGCCCGTGCCTCTGGGTCTGGGCCTGTGTCAGCCCGTGGTACTTTCCCCTCCCCCGACTAAGGATCACTTTTGCCGGAAATTGGCCTACCAATGCCCGGCCTGTCATGGAGCGTGTCAGCCACGCATTTGTGATCTTCTTTGTGCAACCTGGCTGGGAAAGAGTTTGAAAGATGTTGTTTTTGTTGTCGCTTTTCCTACTCCTCTGGACCATTGGCAAACTTCCTGTCTACGTGCGCGATCGGGCTACAGGGGCCGCCGCTCAAACTAGAATCTCAGAATTAGAAAGAGTCCTTCATAAAATAAATGTTTGAGGGAGCTGCGAGCGCTAGCTGCGAGAAAGCATCTTTTTGAGCTGAGGCTCTACGTCACGGTCATTGCCTTCGCGGTCATTCGTGTAATTAGCGCGGTTTTTCTCAAAGACACATTAGATGCTGCTCAGAATGATGCTGAACACTTGGTGGTTGATCGCCTGCGCAAGAAGGCGGAGTATGTGGAGAAGTCGCCTGGCCGAGGTTTGGGTTAGTGGATAAATGCTCATGGCATGGTGCGATGCGGCTAGCGAGGTTAACGGTTAACGCCGCTTTCATGACGGTGGCGTGTTTGAATGTTGGCCGGGCGTGCTGTTGTTTCCAAAGCTTAGCCGACCGTCAAGCAAGGTTGGAAACAATATTCCGAGCCATCGACGACTCTGGCGACGGCACCATTACCGAG